TTAGTTTATGGCATAATTTGAGATATATATATATATATATATACTACTACTACTACTACTACAACTACTAAATTGTTCCGTGTCAAGGCCTTCTTTTGTCAATGAGTTGTTGTTCTCGTCGTTTATTACACTCTTGAACAAATTTGAAGTTTTAGCTTTAAAAAAGATTAAATTTACTACTATATAAAATCGAAATTTCTTTTACACTGTAATTGCGCTTAAAAATTGAATATGCTAAACTGGTTTATATCACTTTTTTTTACGATTTTAAAAATGATTCTAATTAAACCGTAGCTAGTGAAAAAATTTAAGCTCGAGCTGTTCGTACTACGTAAAAGAGAAAAAACTAGAAATAAAACCACCGCAAATGTAGCGTGCTTTCACAAGAAAAAATTATTAACGGTTTGAAAAAAAACTACCTCGTATGTACGATATAATTTTTTATAAGTCCTGGTTTGCCAGGGCCTTCTATTTCTCTCTAAAGCATGTTAGATTTTAAATGGTTCTACCGAAAGTTTTTTCTCTTTTCTGAGGTATAAACAGCTCTATTTTAAGCTTTGAGTTCTGAAGAAAATGGGAGTATTGTAATTTTTTGACGATAAATTTTGTTTTCGTAATTTCGGGTTTACACTGAGACATTGTATTCAAAACTGTAGGCTTGTATTCGAAATCTATGCTTAAGGAACTCAATACTACACAATTTATTTCTCACCATTAATGGTCACCTCTTTGCAAAAAACTGACATTTTTTCTCAAATAATATCTCGAAAAGCTATAAAATAGTTTGGATTTGATTATTGTTATTTTTGTTTCATTTTGCTAAATAAAAATTTTTTAATTAATGTAACCTCAAATGAACTTTTAATTTGCAATTGAAATACAACTAAAGTACACTTTCGTAATAGTTAAAAGATATGATTGATTTTGACTGCACTTCTTTATAATAATGGCATTTTCACATACATTTTATATACATTGAACAATTGATTTAAAAAAATAAATCAATAATTTTTTTAATAAAATTGTCTGTTGAATGAAATGAATTACATGAAAATTATTTGACTTGTTTTAAAAAATGACTCAAAAATTAGTTAATGCAAATTTTATTTATGTTTAAAAAATTTAAAATTAATTTTAAATTAGCACTTAATATAAGAAAAAATTAAATTTCAAGCGAAAAGTAATATTTAAACTAAAAATTTAATACTGAAACTAAAAATTTAATATTAAAACTAAAAATTAGCATTTAATTAAACTTAATATGAACTTTAAAAATTATCGGAATCAATGCATTTTTAAAGCTTACTAAATTTTCGATAACATTTTAAAATTAAGAAAAAAAAATGCCATACACAACAGCGTTCATTAAAATTTGTTGAAAATTTAATAAAAGTGTTGTTTTGGTTTCGAATTTTCGCGTAATGCATCAGAAATGTAGCTAGAAAAAGGTGCTGTATTGTTACTTTCCTGCAAAATAACAATTTATGCAGAAAAACACTTTTACAGACAAGCAAAAAGAATTTTCTTCTTAAGAATTGTAGGCCTAACGCGATTGATGTTTTTATCCGTCTATTTAATTCAAAAAGATTCATTAACTACTCTATTAGTGTTATGTTTTTCAAAATTATATTATTCCTATAAGGGAGCAGCATTTGTAGAGCTTCTTTCAACATCCGGTAGAAGATTCGTTTGTATTGGTTTAGATTTTTTTTTTTTTTTACATCATATTCGACTTATTTTTTAATAAAATTATTTGTTTTCGATAACGAAAAATTCGTTTGCATGCGGTAGTTATTCTGCTTTTGGAGTACAATGCATCAGATCACTAATTTGTTATCTGAAATTAAGATGTTTAAATTCCCTAAAGGCTCATTATGCCTAATTCAATAAAATAATGATTTAAAAAAAAAAAAGTCTGGAAAAAAATAGTCACGTTCTGCTATGACATCAGAGGAGGATAGAAAGATTTCCTGTTGGTTTTTTTGAATTTTTTTTTAGCATAGATAGTGAATTGTTCTAAGATTGAATGATAAAGAGGTGTTCTTTAAAAAAAAATCTTTTAACAACTGTTAAAAGAAATCTGTGTATTTATTATTAACTTTTAAAGTAATCTGTGTATTTTTTATTTATTAATTCTAAGACAAAAAAAATTGAATCTGCTCTTTTTATTTTTAGGCATATAGAAACTATTTAAATATTTTTTACATATTTGAGAACAAATGTCTAACTCGGTAATCAAAATATCAACTTAAAAATCCCTTTTTTTATCCTTCTCTTTATTATGGTACTTGTTACTGCGACCGATCTATACTAATTCAATCTGACCCAATTTTTGGGTTTATGACTACTAATGTTCAACTACGTAGCCTTGTAATTTTGAGCCCAATCCAGAAGACAAGGCATCTTCAGGATCCAGTACAGGGAAAAATTTCCTTTCGTGAAGGACTTTCTGAGGGAACTAACCCGCCTTTGCGCTACATGTAGACGAAGACCAAGAGAATCTCCCACGGTTAGCCTGGAGGCAAGGAGACTTTAACCCATGATCATACCGCTGAGGATATTTTACGGCAGCACTGTGGTCGGTACGAGTCAGATGCAGAATTCGTAACCCGGTTCACGTCATTGGAGGGCGAATGCTCTATCCCCTAAGCCATCGCGACACATGCTCTATCCGCTGAGAAATCGTGGCTCTCTAAATGAATATTGTAAAAGTGAATAGTGTATAAGAAATAAAAACATTTCATAACTAACAATACACTTAAAACCAGATTATTATTAGTAAAGAATTTTCTTCCTGATAATAATAATATTCTAAAATTTTAAATATAAAAAAAAATTAATGTGTATTTTGGAATGCTTACTTATATGTTGTAAGTATTGAATATATCTTTTTCTATTCAATTTTTTATTTATTATGATAACATTTTAATTACTTTCTTTTATTATTTAATACCTGGATATCAAAATTTCAATGGAGAACTTAAAAAAAAAAATTTTTTTTATTAACCTTTTATTTAATAATTTACTTTTCAAAATTCCTTTATTGTCACTTTTTATGTCATATTTACTCATAAAAAAATTATTGTTTAAACTAAATTAAAATGATTATTTCTGTATACATGTAAACAAAATTGTTACCTCCTTTCTTTTGAAATTTTAAATAATTGCCACTGATCAAACACGTTCCCTGGGTTGAGGTTGGTTGGAATAGTGGCCAGACGCGGATTATACTGGTAAGGGTTTTACTAACCTAGGTACGTATCCGCGTCTGAAAGGAAAGAAAGAAAGAAAGTGTATATGAAATATGTGAATATTATGCATGGATTTTTTTCAGGCCCTGTCCAAGGAGTAGTCTTCCAGTAGTGATGCTCACCCTCTACCAGAGAGACACCACAGAAGGAATCTGCAGACATTTTCAGAACCTCATTCGAACCCTTATAGAACACAAAACAACTCCCGATTTCTGGAAATTGCCTGTAAGTCATGTCAACTTTTGCATTTTTACAAAAACTATTAAACTGAGTAAAGGCATTCAAAAGTTAAGGTTTATTAAAATGTACCTACCCATTAGGTTATACAACGTGACAATTATTGAGTTATATAGAATAATAATTCCGGAAAACACTGAGTTCAAACATTTAAAACAAATTTTAAGAGTAACTGCAGATTACTAATTTAGTTTATGGCATTTATGGCATAATTTGTTTTAGTTTATGGCATAATTTGAGGCAGATGAATAGCGAAATTGTACAGTCGGCAAAAAAAAAAAGATATCACCCTGAATAACTTTCGTTCTAATGATCCGATTTTCACGAACTAAGTGTCAATCTTAATGGTTCCTGGGGGTGACCTCAAATATGCTAATTAATTAGTGCTAACTATTAATTAAGTTACGAAATCAGACACAAAAACGTACTTTCTCTGAATAAACATATA